TTACTTAAATACTTTTTAAAAGTATTCTTTACAGGACTGGATATTAGACACCTATGTTATGTCTTATTTCCATGATATGTTATAATATAAAAAAGAACAGCTCAAATATTTAATTATTTTTTTACACGTTACAYGTAATATATTATGTATTTTTTTACTATATTATGTTTGGGTTGCTACTTGCCAGTTGCTATGATAATTTTTTGACCTTGACGAATCTATTTTACAAAACTTTTTGGCATTTTAAATGCATAACTGAGAAATATCAAAATCAATAATAATTAATAAGTATTAAATWATAACTATTAACTCGGATAGCGACCGCCGGCTTAGAGTTGAGCGCTAGTGTTGATAAGAACCGAAATTCCCTCGTCCCCCGCACAATCTTAATATTAAGGTGTACTCGTATCAACATTCGTTTCCACTGTTTCCAGTCCTGACGTGTATCTCAGTAAGTTCGTGTATAAGACCCATAGAGTATTACTCTATGATAAGACCACGGTCCGAGATAACGTGATAAGTAAAATGTCCGGCACAACTTCGTAGCTAACTTCTTGCTAGTAAATAATCTAAGAATGACGTGTTACGCGGTGTTCAATTTTTATTTTAAATAAATTGCCTGTTCGTTCTGTTTAGGTACATTTAACAAAGTTCTTTTTCAAATTTCAACTTATACAATTTTGTATTTTAAGTTGCTTTACCAACAKTCACGATGTTTGACGGATTTCTAGATGATTTAAAACGCATGAATAAACGACAAGTAATGGAAAACAATTATGTTATATTATTTTTACAAAATAGCATAACTTTTCAATTTTCTTAATATATCATTATGGCTTTAGTTTCTCTATCAAGTATTGAGTTTTGGAATGATTGTTTCATCTGCATTAATGATATGGAAAGGTTTAATGGTTTTTACTGGTAGCGAGAGTCCAATTGTTGTTGTTTTAAGGTAAATATACATACTTTTTTCAAACATTTAAAATGTTATTTATATATTATCTTAAATAATAGCTAGTTTATTAAACACTTTAAATATTTTTAGTTACTCCTTGTATTTACTTGCATAAATTCAAATATGAAAAATATTTTACAGTGGTAGTATGGAACCAGCCTTTCACCGAGGGGATCTATTATTCCTCACTAACTATGAAGAAGAACCAGTCAGAGTTGGTGAAATAGTCGTGTTTAAAATTGAAGGACGTGATATTCCTATTGTTCACAGGGTTTTAAAACTACACGAAAAGTTAGTTTGATTTAAAAATTATAATTTAAAAAAATTAGCTATATTAATGTTTTTTTTTTTTTTAGAAATAATGGCACAATTAAATTTTTAACCAAAGGTGACAACAATAGTGTAGATGATAGAGGATTGTATGCTCCTGGTCAACAGTGGCTAGAAAAATCTGATATGGTTGGCAGAGCTAGAGGATTTTTACCATATGTTGGAATGGTTACAATTTTAATGAACGAGTATCCTAAAGTCAAAGTATGTATTAGGTTTTATTTCATTAAAATTAATTGCTAACTTGGTGATTTTTTATCAATTCTTTTAAACAATATTTGAATTCAAAATTCCCCATATGATTAAAAAAAAAAAAGTAGGAAAGTTCTTTACTGTATAATAGATTTGAGTATATCTGATAATTAAGTAAATCACTAATGGATTTGTTTAATATAAATTTATTGATAAATCAATGAAAAATAATTATTCTTTGCAGGATATTTTATATGTTACTAGCTGATTCCAGTGCACTTCTTGCCCTTGAGAATACAAACTCTATATGATTCAAAATTTGTGTTTAATTTGTTGTGTAATAMCCAATTAGCGTTTTTCAAAACTTACCGTGACAAATTCCCATGGATTTGCCATATACAAAATATCAATTAAAACTTTTAACACACGCGAGACATTAAAACAAATAATAATAAATTCAAGGATTATAATTTATTTCACACTAATATTATTATTATTATTGAAAGTAATAGCAATCATCTATAAACAAAAATTTCCATCGTTAATCTCAAAATGTCTGTTTGAGTACCTCCCCGGGTTGGCCTATCACTTTTTAACTTAGCCTATCTTCAATCCATAGGTCTAATACATCTCTGTACCAAATTTTGTCGCAATCAGTCTTATCCGTTTAGGAATGTATAAAGGAACAAACAGACAGAAATCCATTTTTATATAGGTAGATAGAAGATAGATTATTAATGGATCAAATATTATTACATTATTTAAAGCTTACCTGGTGAACTATTATAACATATTATACGTTAAAACCTTCCCAGAGACGTGAACAATTCTAGACCAACTAAAATAACTATAAAAGTAATAAGTACAAAGAAGAAAAAAAATGTGAAAACAATGAAAAAAGTTTGGGCCATCAAAACTGGTTTAAACTTGAGACACTCAGTACATTATTCCTACTGAAGTGCCACTGTGTCAGAATTTTCAGTACATGGCAATAATTTKACGGTTTTTTAAATAGCAAATTTGTAAATTTCTTTTAAATTCTTAAGTTCCAACTCTTCAGCTTTCTAATATTAGTATAGATTTACATTTTCATTAGTATTTGATTAATTATTTTACTGTATAATAATGCGCTGTGGATATATACCTGACATAATATGTTATCGTATATTAAGAGTATGTTACAGTAGAATWTGTTGTCTACATCTTACCAGTGCGTAATATAGCAAATTTACGCTCAGCAGAACACTTGTAGCTCCTTTAGTTTAAAAATTACAGTGAATCGACCTATTATGAAACTTGATGGCAAGAACATTATCTGTGTTTGTACGTTGGTTTTTTATGATAATTCAATTTTTAAGTGAGTTATGAGCATATTATATACAGTACATTAAAAATGCCCATAACTCACTTAAAAATTGAATTATCGTAAAAAACCAACGTACAAACACAGATAATGTTCTTACCATCAAGTTTCATAATAGGTCGATTCACTGTAATTTTTAAACTAAAGGAGCTACAAGTGTTCTGCTGAGCATAAATTTGCTATATTACGCACGGGTAAGACGAAGATAACAAATAGCATTGTTACGTACTCTTAATAACACCAATGTTAGGTAGTAGATATTTATTGGATATTGTTTGTTGTTAAAATATATAAATATATTTAACCCGTTGACTGCCATGCAGCCGCCGGCGGCCTCAAGAATATTTATCATGGGTACGCCAAAGAAATTGTTCAGTGTCATTATAAATTTGTATTTGAATATATACTATTGAACTTGAAAAAAAATTAAAAATACAAAAAAAAATGTTAAAATTATGTTTATTACATCAAAAAAATTGCAATTATYCCCACTACGCCACAGCATATTTTCAAGATCATTATTGTAGCACCACAGAAAAATTAATAATATAAATCCAAATTAATTTACGGCAGTCCGCGGCCGTATGGCCTTCTAYGAATAATATGGTGCAGCAGCCGGCGGTCTAAAAATTATCAATACCTAATTATTATTATACGGATGCCGACAGCCRCATGGCAGTCAACGTGTTAAAACACATGATAATATGTATTACAGTTTATGGATAGTGACTTGCTTTTGGTGATTTTATAGCATAGAAAATTATCATCAAACAAATAAAATGTTAACGATTGGTCAGTTATTCAAGTAGTACTCCAACTTTCAAAGCGAGTTTGAAAATTACAAATGCTTTTTTTTATGATTTTTCTACGAGCCACTGTTGTACATTAAATGTAACTCGTTGAAATTACCCGAAGAAACATGAATTTGTTCCAGATAGTTTAAAATATTATTTTATTAAGTTTATCTGCATTGATGCCGGTATTTTCAAAAAAAGTAAAAAAAAAATTTGACGGTTATGTAATTATTACTAKAAATTATAATATTATCATCAATATGGTCGACTGATGAGCTTCTACTATCAATCTGACCATGGTTGGGCGCTTACGATAATCTCTACCATGGTTGGGTGTATATCCATACCCATAATAGTGATCTATGTTATGACTAAAAGTTTCATATCACTGCATTCAATTATTTTTGAATAACTTAAGGTGTCTGAGTAAAAGTTGTTTCTTTTTCATTTAAATATATAATTTTGTTGAAATTGATAACTTAAATTGTCTATAAATAAAATTGTCCCTGTGTAATTTTGATAATACTAGAATGCTGTAAGAACTACCTATGAAAAAAATTGAAATGAATTTCAAATTTTAGATAATGAAATAAAACTGGACATTGTATGTTTTCTTAAATGCTAAAAATAATTAATAAATGTACATTTTTATTTAATTATTATTTAATATTTTGTAATTACTAATTTGTATGTCACTCAATTAATTTATTTTTTCAGTTTGCTGTTTTAGCATGTCTTGGACTATATGTACTAGTTCATCGTGAATAAACCTTAAATCAATTTGTGTTGAGCAAAAAGAAAATATGGAATTCTTTAACTTGTTAATTTAAATTCATGTGATGTGTGTTTATTGAGGACTGCTAAGCTTTTCTTATTCTTAAATATTTTGTGTTATTCAATTACTAAAAGCGGATTATTACAATTTTTTCCTATCAAGCCAAACTTAAAAAACTATTTATGTGGTTCAAATATATTATTTAAATTACATTTAAATCTCAAATATTAAAATAAAAATAATTTGTTGTTGTACATAATTTAATTATTATTATAAATTGCAATTTATTATTAGGAAACATTATATATTTTCAATTAAGAACTACTATGTTAATTTGTATGATTTTAGTATATTATTAATATTAAATTATGATTATTATAGTTATTCTAAACATTAAAAAAAAATAGTTTTCTAGTCGTTCGAAATAAATTACTGAAAACTAATAAAAAAAATACTACATGTATAATAATAAGTAATATAAATATTTTATTTATTTAACTTTAAATTTTCTTTCAATGTCAATAAAGTAATAGGCATTTGATGTGTTCAATTTTAAATAATAAATGGTATCMATAACTTACAAGGTTGTTAATTTGAATATTTTAATTTGTATAATTTTTAATTTTTCTCACAATACCTTATATTTTTAATCAATAAATCCCTAATGATCATTTATTTTTATTATTGAAATTGTTGTTTTTATATAATTTATTTTTGTTTAATATTATATTTTTAGTTGAAACCCCCCTTTTTTTAAATAATACTAAACAGTATATGATAGATAACAGACCAAATCGCCAAATTATTATGCTGTGTTAACTATAAGCTAATTAATAATTATTAAACTAGTTATTATGGGTTTGGAAGGTGTGTAATAAGTTACAGTTTTTGTATACAGTAGAAACAAGGTTAGTGATTATTCTCTATCTATCTGAGAAAATGGTAAAGAAGATATTTTTAATGAATTCTTTGTATAGAAATTAATCAAAGGCAGCATTAAAACCTTTCATCTTTGTGTTTTGTATTAATTTTCTTGTTACAATCTTTATATTTTGATGGATGAGCACCATTGCTAGGTTACATGATCAATTTTCATTTCTTAAATCATACATTTTCCAAATGTAATACACAATTTTATGTTTGGTTTTATCTAGGTTATGTGATTATTAGTCAATACCTCCAAATAATATTTTTCTATGAATTTAAAATGGTCAAGCAATAATTGCATCAACTATGAATAATGTATAAAACCAAATTTAAAATATTCATTTTTTGTAAGTTAATTAAAATTGAATGTGCGAGTGTTTTTTAACATGAACATTTTTATATTTTATAGAATTTGGTTGTCATAGAAAAATATTTCTTTAATTTAATTTATATTATAGAATTTTAATTTAATTTAAACTATTTGTGAAATAAAAATGGCATTTAACCAAGATATTGAATGGGAATATATACCTGTAGAAACAGCTGATGAAATTATGTTATGTGGAGATGTGGTAGAGAGTAAACGTCTAAAGAATTGGAACAAATGGCTTAAAATAAGAAAACAACAACATAAACACCTTGGTTTAATGGTAAATATTTGACTGTATTATAAATGAATACAATTTAAAAAATACAGTTTACAGGTGTGCCGTAGTTCTACATCATTGTTAATGAATGACTCTGATAAATTCAGATCAAAAGTTGAATGTAAATGGTTAGTTGATATAGCACTCAAATTAAAAGCCAATAAGAAATATCATACAGATTTTTCTGATTCTGTTGATAGAGAAATAAAAAAATTTACTAGTGTATATATACCAGATGTAATACATTCTGAAAAAGGATTATCGGGCATTTGGAAAGATGCTCGCTTTGATTTGCAAACACCTAATAAAGAGTTGATTTACAATGAATTAAATACTTTGAAAAGTTTAATACCTTTTAAAAGTCCTGAAAAATTAGCTATTATTGGGGAAAATATTCTTAAAAAAGCTATGAAACATAAATTTGATTACAAAGGAACTATTCCATCAGTTTATGTTGAGTCTGCTCATAAGACAAATAATTATTGTAATTTTCCATTAATTTTCATTAGAGTAAATGATTATATAATAAAATCAATTGATGACAGCACTAAATGCATGACAATTAAGTTAAAAACAAAATCAAAACCAATTAATATCGTAAAAATAAATGAAGATTCTTGGGATGAGATAACAGTGGAAAACTGTGGTCAAATAAGTATTTGCTATAAATGGATAAAAGAAGAACATACAACTACAAAATATGATGGCATTTTAAAAGAAAAACCAAAAGAATGTTTTTTTTTTGATACCAGGACCAATATTTTGGGTCCTGGTCAAATTAAACGTTTAACAGTTTTATTCAGACCTACACAAACTGGGCCTTACAGAGAAATGTGGTTTTTACAATTATACATTCAGGGAAGATTAGACTATATAGCTAGAATTAATGTACCTTTACAAGGATGTGCTATTTACTATGAAGATAATCTATCATCTATTCTAAAAGTAAKTAGGTACCTACTCAYTTATGTACCTATTACTCTAGAAAAATCAGTTTTTTCAATTTTTAAAAACTTGTAATTGACATGGCGAGTAGGTAAAAAATTTGCATACCTACATCAATATTCAGTGATGAATATCATTTTATCTACACGTGAACATGATTTAAGATATAGGTATCTTTAATCGTGCTGATGAACCATTCTGTGAAAGTCCCACCAGTGAAAATTCCACTTCGGAGATTTACCTATATGTCKTTAACTTTCTTTCTTTTTACTTTGTAATCTCGTGTCGTTGTAAAGTTAGGTACTGTGTTTTGACATTTTTAAGATTCCGAAGTAGCATTATCGAGGGTSGAAATTTTTAATGTTAGTTCATGGCATAGGCGTAACATGGCTGAGACGAATAGCAGCAACTACCCCCCCCTCCTCCCCCACAAACTCAACTATAATATTAGTTAATTGCAAGCTGTTCTAAGGTAGTCAGGCGCATAGCAAACTCATACCTAATATTATGTACGTTTGCCACACATATACAGCTAAATATAATTGCATATTAATATAGTGAGGATCGCAAAAATTATTTTTACCTCCAAGTGAAAGATTCCAAGTAATGGCTATTCATTTAGTTCTGAAGGGTTAAGTAAATTTAAAAATTCAATCGGATAGTGAATTTCTTCATCTATATTTACGACTGTGTCTGCGGACACTAACATAGCTCATAGGTATACTTAGTTTTATATTCAGTGYTAATTTTTTGTGGAACTATTTTGTCGAGTTCCTGTGTGATTTGATTTTTGTAGTTACTATAGTAGTATAGTCTATATAATACATTTAAAAATCCAATCGGTACCTTTTTATATTAGATCATATAATACCTTGATAAACAAATAACAATGAATGACTTGATTGGATTCAAGTTTCTAAGYTACCTATTCAACATATTTTTATGTTGATATTCATAAGTTGATCTGTCACTATAAACTAAAGAACATGTGCAAATTGTTCTAAATTTTGGTTTCCTCAATTATGTACCTACTTGCATATTAATTGTCAGTTGAAGTCTATTTCRACATGTTTCAAAACGAGACCTTATACTAAATTACTAATAGACAAGAAATGAGTCTATGGAAATTGGCAAAAAAATGGTAGTTACCAAGTTTACTCATATGTATGCCATACAGTGTGGGGTAGTACAGAAAGGTATTTATATATCTATATATAGATCAAGGTCGCCCTTTGGGGGGGCAAGGGAGGGAMAAGTCCCCTCCCCTGGAAAATGTCGAAAATCTTGAAAAATTGTTAACTGTGATCAGAATCTATTTATTTAAATAGAATTTAAAAATTTAATTTAATATAATAAGAAAATCTGTAATTTGTTTATGAAAAATCGGTTTATTTAGTTTGGCAAATCAGGTTATCAGCTATAAATAACAACACGCTTTTTCCTTTCTATTATATGGATAGTTATCAATTCTTAAAATATTTTTATATTGCCACAAATACCTTCCTGCCTCGTGGCCATTACTTTTTATAAATAGATTGAAAAATTAAAATGTTGTYCCCCTCTTGAGAATTTTACTATGGGGGCGCCCTTGATATAGATTATTGTATTTTGTCGTAAAAACAGCTTATACACCACTGAAATATGTTTTACTGTGGTCCTTAATGCTGTTCTTTTTCACTTTACTTGTCTAGTGCCTATAATAAGGTCTATGTTATCCAAACTTATATTTTTCATAGGTACCTACCAACACAATTTTATAATATTTGAAAAGTGAAAATGTACCTTTATGCAGTGCTGTGCTAAATTTTATTGACGCCCGGGGGCAATATTATTTAGCCACTCTATTAAACACACATACACCATTACAACATTTACCGACCTTTAAAATGTTATAAAACTTGCCACTCTAGGCCCTAAATTACTTTTTTGTCGGCCGTATATCATTTGCACATCGTCTATTTACCAGTCCAAAAAATATCGTACATCGTTTGCGCATCATCGATAGATTATTGTTTACGCAGTCTGTTTACCTGCACCAAATAATCGTACATAAAATGCGCATCAATATTCTGAACAATAAAAAGGTATAAAAATGGTATTACATGATGTATAATTAATAATAATTAATATTATGTAGAGAAAATGAATAATAAAAGATTTTTAAACTTAAAAATAAAAATAATAAACATTAATTTAAGTTCAAATTTTGACAAAATTCATTAAAAAGTCGAAAATTTGATTCTAAAACATTACATTGGTATTCAAATATGGGGGATGGCCAAACCCTCAAACATTCGCCCCATCCAATCTTTCCAAAACA